GCGTGTGTTTTGTGCCTGTGTGTTGTGCATGTGTGTTGTGCGTGTGTGTTGTGCGTGTGTTCGTGTGTTGTTTGTGTGTGTTGTACGTGTGGGTGCGTGTGTGTAATGTAAATGTACGCGTGGGTGCGTGGGTGTAATGTAAATGTCCGCATGGGTGCGTGTGTATAATTATGTAATGTGTGTACGTTTGTAATGTGATGTATATGTGTAGTGCGTGTATGTAGTGCGTTTTTGTAGTGCGTGTGTGTTGTGTGTGTGTGTGTTGTGCGTGTGTGTTGTGCTTGTGTGTTGTGCGTGTGTTTTGTGCCTGTGTGTTGTGCATGTGTGTTGTGCGTGTGTGTTGTGCGTGTGTTCGTGTGTTGTTTGTGTGTGTTGTACGTGTGGGTGCGTGTGTGTAATGTAAATGTACGCGTGGGTGCGTGGGTGTAATGTAAATGTCCGCATGGGTGCGTGTGTATAATTATGTAATGTGTGTACGTTTGTAATGTGATGTATATGTGTAGTGCGTGTATGTAGTGCGTTTTTGTAGTGCGTGTGTGTTGTGTGTGTGTGTGTTGTGCGTGTGTGTTGTGCTTGTGTGTTGTGCGTGTGTTTTGTGCCTGTGTGTTGTGCATGTGTGTTGTGCGTGTGTGTTGTGCGTGTGTTCGTGTGTTGTTTGTGTGTGTTGTACGTGTGGGTGCGTGTGTGTAATGTAAATGTACGCGTGGGTGCGTGGGTGTAATATGAATGTACGCGTGGGTGCGTGTGTGTAATGTAAATGTACTCGTGGGTGCGTGTGTGTAATGTAAATGTACACGTGTGTGCGAGTTTTTAATGTAAATGGACGCATGGGTGCGTGTGTGTAATGTAAATGTACGTGTGAGTGCGTGGGTGTAATGTAAATGTACGCGTGGATGCGTGGGTGTAATTTAGGTGTACGCTTGGGTGCGTGGGTGTAATGTAAATGTACGCGTGGGTGCGTTGTTGTAATGTTAATATACGCTTGGGTGCGTGGGTGTAATGTAAATGTACGCGTTGGTGCGTGTGTGTAATGTAAATGTACGCCTGGGTGCGTGTGTGTAATGTAAATGTACGCCTGGGTGAGTGTGTGTAATGTAAATGTACGCCTGGGTGAGTGTGTGTAATGTAAATGTACGCCTGGGTTTGTTTGCGTTATGTAAATGTACGCCTGGGTGCGTGTGTGTAATGTATGTGATGTGTGTATGTTTTTGATGTGATGTATGTTTGTAGTGCGTGTTTTTGTAGTGCGTGTGTGTAGTGCATGTGTGTAGTGCGTGTGTGTAGTGCATGTGTGTAATGCGTGTTTGCAGTTCGTGTGTGTAGTGTGTGTGTGTGTTGTGCATGTGTGTTGTGCGTGTGTGTTTTGCGTGTGTGTTGTGCGTTTGTGTTGTGCGTTTGTGTTGTGCTTGGGTATTGTGCCTGTGTGTTGTGCGTGTGTGTGTGTGTTGTTCGTGTGTGTTGTACGCGTGGGTGCGTGTGTGTAATGTAAATGTACGCGTGGGTGCGTGTGTGTAATGTAAATGTACGCGTGGGTGCGTGTTTTTAATGTAAATTTACGCGTGGGTGCATGTGTGTAATGTAAATGTACGCGTGGGTGCGTGTGTGTAATGTAAATAGACGTGTGTGTGCGAGTTTTTAATGTAAATGTACGCATGGGTGCGTGTGTGTAATGTATATGTACGCACGGGTGCGTGAGTGTAATGTAAATGTACGCGTGGATGCGTGGGTGCAATGTAAGTGTATGCGTGGGTGCGTGGGTGTAATGTCAATGTACGCGTGGGTGCGTTGTTGTAATGTTAATATACGCTTGGGTACGTGGGTGTAATGTAAATGTACACGTGGGTGAGTGGGTGTAATGTAAATGTACGCGTGGGTGTGTGGGTGTAATGTCAATGTATGCGTGGGGGCGTGGGTGTAATGTAAATGTACGCGTTGGTGCATTGGTGTAATGTAAATATACGGGTGGGTGCGTG